CTATTTGTGGCTATTGTGAAGAGTGTTGATTCTTTGATTTCTTCCCCAGCCCTTTTATCATCTATCTGTGTTCAGGAGGGCTACTGATTTTTTTGTTGTTGTTGTTAATCTTGTATCCTGCTACATTGTTGAAAGTGTTTATGAGTTGTAGAAGTTCCTTGGTAGAATTTTTGGGATCACTTATGTAAATTATCATATCATCAGCAAACAGTGAGAGTTTGACTTCTTCTTTTCCAATTTGTATCCCCTTGATCTCCTTTTTGTGTTTTATTGTTCTAGCTAGGCCCTCAAGAACTATATTGAATAGATATGAACAACCTTGCCTTGTTCCTGATTTCAGTGGAATCATTGTGAGTTTCTCTCCATTTAGTTTGATGTTGGCTGTTGGCTTGCTGTATATTGCCTTAATTATGTTTAGGTCTGTTCGTTGTATCCCTGCTCTCTCCAAGACCTTTATCATGAAGGGATGTTGTATTTTGTCAAAAGTTTTTTGGCATTTAATGAGATGATCGTGTGGTTTTTATTTTTCAGCTTGTTTATATGGTGGATTACGTTGACAGATTTTCATATGTTGAACCATCCCTGCATCTCTGGGATGAAGCTGCCTTGATCATCTTGATCATGGTGGATGATGGTTCTGATGTGTTCTTGGATTTGATTTGCCAGTGTTTTATTTAGTATTTTTACATCAATGCTCATGAGTGAGATCGGTCTGTAATTCTCTTTCTTAGTAATGTCTCTCTGTGGTTTGGGTATCAGGGTAATTTTAGCCTCATAAAAAAAGTTTGGCAATGTATCTTCTGTTTCTATTGTGTGGAATAATTTGAGAAGTATTGGTATTAGTTCTTCTTTGAAAGTCTTGTAGAATTCTGTGCTGAAACCATCTAGTCCTGGGCTTTTTTTTTTTTTTTTTGGTTGGGAGACTTTTGATGACTGTTTCTATTTCTTCAGCAGTTATAGGTCTGTTTAATTTGCTTATCTGGTCTTGATTTAATTTTGGTAAGTGCTATTTATGCAGAAAGTTGTCCATTTCCTGTAAGTTTTCCAATTTTGTAGAGTACAGGTTTTCAAAATATGACCTGATGATTCTCTGTATTTCCTCCATGTCTGTTTTTTGTCCCCCTTTCCATTTCTGATTTTGATTATTTGGATATTCTCTCTCTCCCTTTTGGTTAGTTTGGATAAAGGTTTGTCTATTTTGTTGACTTTCTCAAAGAATAAGCTCTTTGTCTCATTGATTCTTTGTATTGTTTTCTTTGTTTCTATTTTGTTGATTTCAGCTCTCACTTTGATTATTTCCTACTGTCTAATTGTCTTGGGTGAGTTTGTTTCTTTTTGTTCTAAAGTTTTCAAAAGTTCTGTTAATTCACTAGTGTTGTGGTGTGGAACAATTCTGCATTCTGTCAATTATGTTTTAAATAAATGCTGATTGGTTCTTCCAAGGTAATGTTAAATAGCCCCACCCCATAATAAGTCAACCATTGGAAATGATACTCAAGCAGTTTCCTGAATCTATAGTTTGCTACTACAGGGTGATATTTTGCTATCTGATTTAAATGTAGATACTTTAATGTTTGAATAAGTAAAGAAGGCTTAGCCTTTTGGGGGATTACAAATTGCTCCTGAAAAAATACAAAGAAAATTCTATCAATTATTTAGGTTATAAAACAGATTTACAGAAAGTTAGACCACAAAAACTGCAAATTAGGAGAGACTGATTGCAGAAACTTAATGACTTCCAAAAACAGCTAGGAGGCATTTCCAGTCTGTGACCCACTATAGAAATAAAACCTGAGGACTGATTAACTTAAACAAAACATTAGATGATGACAGGGGCTTAAATAGTCCCAGGGAATTATCAACTGAAGCGAAGAGAGAATTGGTTTGATTGAAGAGAAGTTACAGGAGGCACATGTGGATCGTGCGGATCCGAATCTTAACTGCGTTCTGGTCATATTACTCTCCACATGTTCCCCTACAGGAATTTTAGTGCAGGGGGAAGATATTATCTTAGAATGGATCTTTCTTTACCACATATACCATGTAAAAATTAATCAATAGGATTTGATTGCCAATTTCAACAGTATGAACCCTTTCAGGTAATCTCTCAGTAAGGTTTCATAACCCATGCCATGGAGCGGCTTTCACCTGACAAATTATGGTTGCCATTTTCAATGTTATGAAACCTTTCAGCCAGCTTTTCATCACTGGTCTGTAAAGTCTGCATCATTTCTAAAAGTTTCTCAATCTTGGGCTGGAGAAATGGCTCAACGGTTAAGAGCACTGGCTGCTCCTCCAGAGGACCTGGGTTCAATTCCCAGCACCCACATGGCAGCTCACAACTGCCTGTAGCCTCAGCTCCCTGGAAGCTGACACCTTTACACCAATGCGCATAAAATAAGGTTAAAATAAATTAATAAAAAAGGTTCTCTTTCTTGACGCTGTTATCAAACCATGTCTTTAAGAATATAACATGAGCCGGGCGGTGGTGGCGCACGCCTTTAATCCCAGCACTCGGGAGGCAGAGGCAGGCGGATCTCTGTGAGTTCGAGACCAGTCTGGTCTACAAGAGCTAGTTCCAGGACAGGCTCCAAAACCACAGAGAAACCCTGTCTCGAAAAACAAAAAAAAAAAAAAAAAAAAAGAATATAACATGAATTATCAAACTAATAGGTGCTATGTCTATGAATGTACACATCCCAGGTAGGTCGTTTACTTCTTTCAGAGCTCCCTCCATATTAGGAATGCAAAGGTTATTAAATTCCTGGATGATAGTATTATCTGCCATTGTCTGTTGAAATCCTGGCTCAGATGAGAATTTTAAGGTGTAATAATGATGTGGACCAGTAGGTGTCACAGTTATACCACTAAAGCAGTTGAGACGCTGCACTCTGGGTTTATTCCAGTGTCAATAACGTGGGTTTTCTAAGCAGAACTCAAAACCAAACTGAATGATTATTTTTTTAATTTATTTATTTATTATTTATACAGTGATCTGTCTGCAGGCCAGAAGAGGGAACCAGATCAAACTACAGATGGTTGTGAGCCACCATGTGGTTGCTGGGAATTGAACTCAGATCCTCTGCAAGAGCAGCCAGTGCTCTTAACCTCTGAGCCATCTCTCCAGCCCCTATTTTTGGTTTTTTAAGGCAGGCTTTTTCTGTATCTCTGGAGTCTATCCTGGAACTAACTCTTTTTTTTTTAATGGTTCCTCATTATTTATTATGTTAGGAGTATACATTGAGCCCGCCACCATAGTATGGGCACGTGGCCATGCCCACTGCTATGTCACATTAAGAAAATAACTTTCAGCCGGGCGGTGGTGGCGCACGCCTTTAATCCCAGCACTCGGGAGGCAGAGGCAGGCGGATCTCTGTGAGTTCGAGACCAGCCTGGTCTACAAGAGCTAGTTCCAGGACAGGCTCCAAAACCACAGAGAAATCCTGTCTCGAAAAACAAAACAAAAAAAAAAAAAAAAGAAAATAACTTTCGAATTGCATTTGAACTGCAATAACACCATTCTGGAAGAAAAAATACCCCAAACCAATGCTGCATACACAAGAGAGGGCTCATAACTAGTCTGGAACTAGCTTAGCTCTTGTAGTCCAGGATGACCTCGGATTCACAGAGATCCACCCGCCTCTGCCTCTGCCTCTGGGATTAAAGGCGTGCGCCACCAGCGCCCGGCCTCTGGACGGATTTCTGTTAAAGAGATGCTGGGCCAGAGCAGCCCTGCAGTGCGTGTTCTCAGGCCACCTGAGCCCAGGGAAGCCAGGGTAGCTGTGTGGGAGCTGCATGCAGGGCTGGCAAGCAAGAACCACAGGACGCTCTGTGGGCGATTCCTGATGGCAGCAGCCATGGGCGCCACAGAAAGCTGCAAACTGGAGGTGGGCACGAGAGGAAGCTAAGTTGGGGAATGGGATTTCACCCAAACCCAGGTGGCTAAAAGGCCTCAGGCAAATGACCTTTTTTGTGAATTTGTATCCCAAACGTTAGGTGCCAAATGTAGCATGATTAATAAAAACCAGAGCTAGAAATTGGGGTTCAACTTGAAAGTCAGAAAAGCAAACTAGCCAGCCACTGACTCTTCTTACCTGTACCTCTGTCCGAAACGGCAATCCTGCCTCTAGGAATCTCAGAATGAGAATGAGTGAGAGCTGTCTCTCCCATTTTATAATCTTCTCCAGTTTCGGGATTAAAGTCGTGCACCACTGAGATTAAAGGCAAGCACCGTCCGGTTTCTATGGCAATTAGTATGGCTCCTGGGATTAAAGGTGTGTGTCTCCATTGCCTGGTTTGTAAGGCCGACCAGCGCAGCTGTTTTACTCTTTGATCTTCAGGCAAGCTTTATTTATTAAAATACAAATGAACTATCACTACACTTGAGATTCTTTGTTAAGATTAATTCTATTTAATTCCTGTATCAGTGTGCCTACATTCATGTGAGTACGATGCCCGTAGAGGCCAGAAGAGGGCGCATGGGTTCTGGGAACACAATCTGGACCTTTTAGGTGCAGAGCCCTGCGGGAGCCTGGATTGACTGGTGGATTCCACACCAAGCCCGCATCTCCTGGTGCGCCTGCCCTTCTCCAGCTTGTGAACTCCTATGTATCCCTCAGAACTCTCTAGAGCAGTGACTCTGAACTAGTGGACCACAAACTCTTGGGGGGGGGGGGGGATTGAATGACCCTTTCACAGGGGTCACATATCAGATATTTACATTAAGATTCACAATAAGCAAAAGTATAGTTATGAAGTAACAACAAAAATGCTTTTATGGTTGGGGTCACCACAGCATGAGGAACTGTATATAAGAGTCGCAGCGACAGGAAGGTTGAGAATCGCTGCTCTAGGGGTTCACCTACTTCTCCCTCCCTTTAGTGTGGGGAGTCAGAAGGCATGTTGCCCTGGAGAGGAAATGCATTACGGGTACCAGTACCCTTCCCTTCATGGTCTGGCTTTGGAAGACAGAACGGGAACATGGATTCCTTTTTATTTTGTTAGAAAAGTGTTTATTTAAAGAATACTAAAAGGTCCGGGCCTGTTGGAGAGGAGGGAGGAGTCTTGGCTCAGTCCAGCCTGAGCTGAGGGAGCAGAAGTGGGCGGGAGGGAAGGAGGTCCCGGAGCACCTTAGCAGCTGGTGAGGTACATCCCTGTGGGGACAGAGCAGGGCCTGGCGTGGGTTCCTTGCGTGGGCTCCTCTGCACTTGGCCTGAGAGCCCAGCCCTGCCCTGCAGCTACCTGTGGCGAATCTCCGCTTCACCAGGGACATGCGATAGCCGCCGCCCAGCAGCTCCAGGTCCAGACCGGACAGCGTGGTACCCTCACTGGTGAATTGCGCGGCCACCGGGCTGGGAGTACTGGGCCCTGACTGCGGCTGCCAGCTGGCGGACAGGTGGCCGGAGCCTGCGGAACCTGGGGTCAGGGACGCGCTCCCGCCGCAGGCCCTTAGCACTGCCCACCCTGTCCTGAGAACCCTGCTCAGGGATTCTTCAGGTGCGCCAGAGTATCCCCAGTTTTAACAAGTGCTGCCTACCCATGACTTCTCCCACGCAGCAGCCCTCATCATAGCTGTGACTCACCTCCTGTCTCACACACATCTGGAAGCTTCCACGTGAACCTCTTTTCCTCTGTGCTCCTGGTAGCAAGGGAAGATGGGTCAGCAGCAGAGTCACCTGTGTGGGACCTGTTAACCTACTGCCCAGCGGAGCCTCCTTTCCCCACCCATGCATAAGCTACAGTGTGGCACAGCTACACTTGTTTGTTGGCCTGTGCTCACAGCGGGACTGGGTGGCTCACCAGCTGGCAGCAGGCTGCAGACGCACGCTGGTCACCGGCTCTCCCACAGGCAGCAGGATTTGGACATTAGTGAGCGGCGTGGACACCGTGGTGGCGCCCGCACGGTAGCTGTACTCCACCGTGACCCGCGTGAGCGTGGGCCCGCACTGCCAGTGGGCGCTCATTTGCAGGGGCACTGACTCAGGCCCAGGGCGGGAGAACTAAGGATAAGAAGACAGAGGTGATTGGGCGACGTCGCCATGTCCCTCCCACGGGCTATGCAAGCACTCCACCTAGTCCAGTTCAAGCAATATGCAACCACTAGAACCACATGCAGTATTCCGCGTGGCCAGCAGGGAGCAGGAGAGCGCACAGTCGCCAGAAACCACTTGCTCACTTGCAGGATTCATGCGTCCAGGTCCCGCCCTGCCCCAGCACCCCACCTGGTAGCGCAGCAGCACCAGGTTGTAGTAGGAAGCGGTAGGGTTCTGCTCTGCCTGGTGTTGCAGGGCCTCTGTTAGCGCCGTCATGTTCAGCCAGAAGTCTTTCGTCTCTGGGTCACTCTGGGAGGGGTCACTGCAGAAATGGGGACAGAACATCTTCATCCCTCAGGAAATGCTCTCCCACTCCAGTCTGAGCTGCCGTGGGTGGGAGAGAGAAAGCCACCCGCCTCACATCACAGAGCAAAGGGCTGGAGGCACTGCAGGCATTTTAAGGCCCTGAGCCCTGGCAACTTCTCCCATCACCCATGCAAGGCACCTGAAGATCAAGTCAGCGTTGGGCTGAAAGTGTTCCACGGGCGCCGTGTGCACGAGCCGGAAGCTGAGGACGGGTGGGGGTGGGGTCCCACTGAACACTCGCACAATGCCGGCAGGAAAGGTCATGGTCAATTCTCCCGTGACTCGAGCCAGGCAGCTGGGGAGCCGGGGAAACACGGGATGTGGGATCTGGGCTCTGTGTTTCCCACTCTCTTGGTTCCCCTGGCACCCAAACCTCCAATGAAGCTCTAATTGTTCCCAGCACCCTCTCCCCAACTTCTTTCTCTTCCATCCCCGCCTGGCAGGGTGAACCCCCCACACCACACACAGTGTGGGCTAAGAAAAGTATCTTCCCTAGGTCCCTTTTCTCCTGGGCCACCAGGAATCTCAAACCAGAATAACTCGTGTTTTGAGCAACCCTAGCTTGGGTTTAGGGTCTAATGGTCCCTCTTCTTTGTGGTTTAATGTTAAGGTCTCCTTTTGTCAACCACAGGGATGGCAGGCCTGCTTCAAGGTCCCTAGTTCACCCCCAATGAGGAACCTCAGGGTTCCCTAGCCTCAATCAAATGCCCTCAGGTTAACCCTGCACTTGGCATCACTGTCCACGTGACAGCCTACCTGGGGCTGTGGCCACGGAAATAGGCATGAACATACTCAGTGAAGGCTGTGGCCACAGGCAGGGTGTCCTGGGACCCCAGGACCACAGGGCTGGGGCCACGGGAGATGCCTGTAGGAAGATGGGGGGTCAGAAGCAAGGCAAGCCTCACCCACTTAACCAGCATCCCAGAAAAGAGGACCCAAGGCCTCAAGGGGAGCTGCCCCTACAAACCATGCGCCATCTGAGTGGAGAAGCCAGGCCGATCCGGGCCGATGCTGGGGGCAGAAGATCCCAGAGGGGAGGGGCTTAGGGATCGGCACTGCAGGAAACGACAGGATCAGGGCTGTGAGCTGCCCAGAGCTACCCTACAGGGGCGGCCCCTTCCCAACAGAAACTGCCTCACCATGCCACCCACCAGGTCACCGTTGCTCCTGGTGAGCGGGCAGGACACTTTTCTGGACCGAGGTCTCCTGGGTGGTGCAGCTAGGCCCTCCCTGGGGGTGGAGTCAGCAGGCAGCGAGGAGTCTAGAAAGAGGACAGTGCAGGGCTGGCTCCAGCTGGGCGTTAGCCCTTAAGAAACAATGGGCTGAGGGCTTCTGGGTAAGAGCCCAGGGTGCAGCGGACAGGGGTGTGTGTCTGGGTGCGCGTCATTGCTGGCGGCTCAAGAGGTGGGTAAGCCACACCTGAGCCTCCATCACTCTGCTGTCACACCCCCTTGGCTCTGCCAGGAACCAGATTCTTTCCCATGGATGCCAGCTGCCCGCCAGTGTGACCAGGCCTCAGGTGGCAGTTGTGAGAGCCTGATGCGCTCTCGTCCCACCCTCCCAGCCACTTAGGCTCTCGGCCGGGTGTTTTCCCCACAGCCTGAGTGGGCGAGATGCCCATTTTGATGACATCTCCATTCAGCAGTGGCCCATAGGGTTCAGCCACGACTCCTTCAAACTCGGAGTCCACAGATGTCTTAGGCCCACCCATCCTTCCAGCACCCGACTGCCGCAGCTCACTCCCAGTCTCATGGCCAAAAGGAGACTCCAGCACCACACATGGCCAAGTCGACACCCACCTTTCTGACACAGGGCCTTTGCTTGACCATATGATGATCCCACCTAGGAAGGCCTCCACCTGGCACCCAGTCTACCAGGGACACCCGCTGGGCTCACCTGTGCCTGCCTCTGGTCCCCACGGGCCTGGCGAGGGTGCACGGGGAATTGGGCCCCTGGCCTCTGGGTGTTGCATCCTGCAGGTGGGTGGGCTCTGCGGGGTGCCCGGCCGGGGGACCCAGGACTCAGGGGATGGGTCGGGGGCAGCATGCGATGGAGAGTCCAGGCCTGAGTCTTCCACATTCTCAGGGGACGAGGAAGAGAAAGGGGATGGGCTGGATGTGAAGCCCAGGCTGCTGGAGCCTAGGAAGGGGCAGGGCCAGGGGCGTGGTCAGAATAGTCCACGCCCACATCCAGATGTTCCCCCCACATTAGCATACCCTCCACACGCCCATAGCCACGCCCCTCCAAACAAGGGCCCACCCACTGTGGGGCCCTGTCCAGCTCTCCCTCTACCCGTGAAGTCCTCGTGGTCAAAGGCTGACTCCAGCGGCGGCCCAAAGAGGCTCTTGGACAATGGTTCCTCCGAGGCCAGCGGCCTCTCAGCACAGCTGGGGACAGCGACAGGGGTGGGGCTGAGTCTGGCACCTGAGGCCTTCCATGGTCTTTCAGAGCACCCAGCCTGCATCACCCACTCAGCCCAGCGCAGCCTGCATCACCATGCTAAGACCAGGCTTTGAAGGCATTTTGACCCCATGTTTGGCGAGGCAGGGTCTCACTCTGCCCAGGCTCCTGAGCGCTGGGTGACATGCCAGTTTCATCCACAACTAAAGCCCCTAGAGTGTCCACAGGCCTCCCAGGCCTAGTGTCCAATAGCCTCGTAGTGAGGAAGCGGGAGGTGGGGCCCATCTGCTTGCAACAGTCATGTCCCCGCAAGACCCACCTGCCGGTCCGTGGGGCTGACTGAGGTCTCGGTGCCTTCCCAGAAGTGTCCCCTAGGACAGACAGAGCCTCTGTCACACCAGGCCCACGGCTGGATTTGTCAGACAGTGGCCCAAGGTGACAACATGGACAGAGGGGACAGCAGCGTGGGGTTCTAGTTCTGCCCCCGCTGCCCATTAGTCCCACAGTGAAGCTGTTCGGTGGAGGAGGAGCCCGAGGGTGCGCAATCCCAGTTCCCCGCCATCCAGGCCTGCTTCCCCTCCAAGGGCACCTTCTAACCCAGACAGGCCAGGCTACTCACGCGACGAGTGACGTTTCATGGTGCCCTGAGGAAAAAGGGAGAAACCGACCAACATGAGGCCCAGCTGCAGCCTGTTGGCCCTGGTATCCCTCACAGTCCCAGTTTCCCAGCTCACCCCTGGGCCTGGCGGGAGGATGAGGCTGCCTGCTGTGGCCCTGAGCTGGGCAGCTGCAGCCTCGGAGCTGCAGGCCGCGGTGCGGGGTGGGGCAGGCTTGATGTGAACGTAGAACTTTCTAGGCTCCTCGTCGTCAAAATCAGAGTCGCTAGAGGAGAATCGCGGGGGCTCGGCTGTGGGTGCACCTCTGTCAAGGAGCCAGTCTTGAATCTGAACACACTTCCCCACGCAGAGGTCCCTTTATGCTCAGGAAACTACCCGGGGAGTTTCTATACAGCCACTACAGTCCAACACTGATGCCCTTCCTCTAGGAAGCCCTCCTGGGTATCCCACCATAAAAGCCCACCTTGTCTGTCCATCTTTATTATGAAACAGGCTCTCTCTACATAGCCCCGGCTGGCCTGGAACTTACTGACTGGATTCACACTCCACGATTCACCAGTCTCTGCACCCCCACTGCCCAGCTCTCACCCCCCTTACACAGGACAAGGGCCTGGGCCTGACCCTCCCCAGGGGGTACACAGTCACAGACAGGATATTGTTGTGGGAGACATCAGGGCGCACAGTGAAGCCTTCCTCGTCCACCTCTGGAGGCACCTGGGGAGGCAGAGTCAGGTCCCTTAACGACCCTTTGTTTTGCCCCGTCAACTCCCACCAGAATATATTCCAGGATGTAGGTAAATCCAAGGGGAAATTGAGCCACGGTAGAGCTTTTAGTCCCTCACAGGGGGACCACAGAGGCCAGACCGGATTCTGAGCCCCACCCTGGGCCCCTCTGGCCTCCTCAGGCCTTGAAGAACAAGCCCTGCCCCCTCTCTGCCCCTCCCCCACAGTACTCACCCCCGAATCAGACTCCAGGAAGTCACTAGGGACAAAGGAACAGGGGTAAGTGTCTGGTGCCAGCAGAAGGCATGCCCACCATGTTGCCCAAGCTAGCCCATAGCCTGGAACCCTGGGGCTTCTTTGAGAATGTGAAGCCGGGTGGTGGTGGCACACGCCTTTAATCCCAGCACTCGGGAGGCAGAGGCAGGCGGATCTCTGTGAGTTTGAAGCCAGCCTGGTTTACAAGAGCTAGTTTCAGGACAGGCTCCATAGCCACTGAGAAACCTTGTCTCGGAAAATGGGAGAGAGAGAGAGAGAGAGAGAGAGAGAGAGAGAGAGAGAGAATGTGGGGATGTGGGGGGCATCTAGAGGGAGCTGTCAGAGATGGCCTCTAACAGCAGAGCAGATGAGAAGCTAGCCTTGGGAAAGGAAGGGACCACGTCCAACTTACGTTACAATGGGCCAAGCAGCTTCTGGCCCAGCCTAGGTGAAAGGAAGAATTCCAGACTAGTCTAGAGAATAGTTCTCTTAGGCTAGCCTGGGACAGAGGTTTTCTGGGCTAGCCCAGGCTGAAGTGATCTGGGCTGGTCTGACATAGGGAGAGTGCCACAGGGAACTTCTATGCTAGCTGGAGCAAGAGGCAGAATTTTGGGCTAGCCTGGACCAGGGTGGAGCAATTTCTCACACAGAGGCACGGGGCTCCCTCCGGCTCAGTCCTGGAAGACGGAAGGCCTTGGCTCCTCGGAGGCGTTTCATTGCTGTAGACAGAGGGAGGGCATGCTAACCTCTGGAAGGTTCTCCCCCTTTCTATACAGAACCCCCTTCCCACACCCCTGGTCTAGCCTGGGCATCCAGGCCCAGACGTACTTGCCTTCCTGCAGGGCAGCTGTGCTGTAGGCATCAAAGTCCAGAGGCCCTGGGGCAAAAAGAAAGGCATCTGAGGGGCAGAAGCTGCCTGGCAGGGATATCAGGGCACCAGGCTCCACAATGGGAGCCATGGAGGGTGTGAGGGGAACCTAGGAGCGGTAGACCCAGGCAGACTGGACAGCAAGCCGGCAAGGAGGAAGGCTTTCCTGGTCACCTGGGTCTGGGGACACAGTGTGCCAGCATTTAGGGGATTGTGATCTCCACTTCAGTGATGAGGCAGCGCTCAGAGACACGCGACTATAGTCTCCCGGCGAGCTGAGCTGTGAGCAAAGGACCCAAGCCCGCCCTTCCCTCGGCTCTCACAAGGGCATCATGTACGCAATGGTTCCTAGAGGAACCGCCGAGCTTCCCAGCAGCGCTCTCATGCTGCCTTCTCTTCGTGAGCTAGGGGACAGAGAACTGCCACCAGCCCATTTTTCCAAAGAAACCGATGGTCAGGGAGGCCCCGCTGTCACTCACCAGGCTTCTCGTGGCCGGTGCCCTTGCTCTCCGCAAACTTCCTGAGAAGCATGTCCACCGTCACATTTTCCACGTTCTGCTTAAATTCTTCGTGCACCTGGTAGGGGGCAGGGCATGAGGGGTGGGCCCTCGGCGGGCGGGGCAGGAGGGCGGGGCCTATCCTCACCTGCCCGATCTGCACGTGGGTGTCCTCCACGGAGTGCGCATAGGAGCCCAGCAAGGCCTTCATGTGCTGCAGGTGGGCCTCCTCCATGGCCTGAAAGCGCTGAGATGGGAAGGGCATGTGACCCAGGCTGACCAATCAGAGCAGTCCCGCTTCCAGCTCTGATCGGCTTAGGGAAGCATGAGACTCCGCATTCGGATTTTTGGGGTAAATTAAAAGCGCACCTCTGCCCCCAACCTCCCCGCCCCCATGTGCCTGCCTTTGGTCCTAGTACTGGTAGAGGCAGGAGGATCTCTGAGTTCGAGACCAGCCTAGTCTACATAGTGAGACCTGTCTCAAAAAAGAAAAATGGTCCTGCTGGATCAGAGACGCAGCTACTCTTTGCACACACACAAACACACAAACTCTGCCAGCCTAGGAATGAGGTCCCCAGAAACCAACGACCAACCGCAGAGATGACATCCTAATGACGCCATTGGAACGCCTGAATCCAGCCACTCCTGAAGCCCCTGCAGTAGCAAACCCACGGTGTGGAGTATTTGTTTACACTGATAAAGATGTGTCTATCAGGCACCTGATTGGTTTAATAAAGAGCTGAATGGCCAAGAGCTAGGCAGGAGAGGATAGGCGGGACTTCTGAGCAGAGAGAGGAACTTTGGGAAGAAAGGCAGGATTCCTCAGCAAGACGTGGAGACAGTAGCACATACAGAAGAGAGGAGAGGTAAAAAGCAACATGACGGACATAGATTAACAGACACGGGTTGACTTGAGTTATAAGAGCTAGCTGGGAACACCAAGGCCAAGGTCAAGCCTTTCATAATTAATAATAAGTCTCCGTGTCCATATTTGGGGACTGGTGGAGCAGTGACCCTGCTCTCAGGGGCCAATGCCCTCTGGAAAGGCAAACCCACCGTAAGGGGCAGAGCAGCCCCCGTCGCCATGTGCTATGGGAAACCCGTCGGCAGGGAGCCCATGCAGCCAGATACCCACACAAAAAGCCAGGCCCAGACTGCTAAAGACCTCCGAACAAGCTTAGATGCAAATTTTCAAAAATAAATAGTTTAAAAATAATACAGTCTTTAAAGAGAGAATAAAGTAATATAAAAAGAATACACAATGCGCAGGTGGAAAATACTCGGACACCTGGATCGGGCATGGTGTTTGGTTGAGTTTAAATTTTTTGAATGTTGATGAGCAAAGGGCAAACACTGCCAACAGACACCGCATTATAGAAAAAACTGCTAAATTAAACCAACCTATATATTTTGAGGATACTTTAACTTCAATTCCAACAACAAATCCATAAGTAAATCTGTTTAAATGAAAATTTCTTCTTTTTCTCAGAATGCCAAAGCTGGTGTTATATTTGATATATAGCCCAGAATGACACTGAATTCCTGATCCTCCTGCCTCGGACCCCTGGGATTGAGGACAGGGCACCCCTGCAGGGAGTGTGAGGACCAGCCACCACAGGGTGAGGATCTCACCAAGGCCGAGTCTAGCATCTTGGTCTCGAAGTCAGCCCGGGCAGAGTTGTACTTATCCACAGAGCGCCGCAGGCTGTCAGCTGCCTTCTTGCTTTTGGTTTCTGCCTGGGAATCATAGACAGAGGACCGAGTGAGTCGCCATAGGGACCATCGGGTGGCTTTACCACCCTGCCAAGCCATCTTCTGAAATCCAGGGGAGGTGGCCTCACAGTTTAGTGCCCAGCGCTGTGGGACCAACAAACCTTGTCCATCTCCTTCTGGCTGGTGTTCTCTCTGCGCAGCCGCTCCACGTCCATGCAGCGGCTCAGGTAATTCTCCCGAGACTTCGGCAAGAGCTGACCCACGCTGGCCAATACCTGCACTGCATCCACAGTGCCCAGAACTTCCTCCTTGCACTGTAGGTAGGGAAAAGCAGGGAAGGGCTTTGGGTCAGGGGTGGAGTGACAGCCTAGAATCCCCCAGTGAGGGGCAGGGCAGGGCACCTAAGCATGCTTTCCCAGTTTCATCCACACACACTCATAAGCTGCAAGTGGGTGCACAGGCCCATCTGGGGTCCTGAGCGCCCCAGGGCCCTGCATGCCTGCCAGGGCGGCCGCTACCTTCTTGTGGGTCTTGAGCTGCTCCTCGCCATAGCGCAGCACGTCCTTGAGGAGGTCGTGAAGTTTCCGCGTCAGCTCTAGGTGGCACAGCGCCAGCTTGTCTGAGGACACACGGAAGACCTCCCAGAGCGGGGCGAAGGTCCTGGGGACAGGCAGAGTCCAGAGTGTGTGATACCCCCGGGACCCTCACACAGCACAGGTGTCATTGCTGACAGGGAACTTGGCAGAAGTTGAGTTCTTCAGGTCCCGGGTTACCTTTACTAGGGTTCCCCACATACACCCAGCTGCACTCACCCCATTGGGGTGCCATTGCTGGCGAGCTTGGACAGCTTGGCCATGGCCTTCGAGTATGTCTCTTCGATGCTAGCCCTGCATTGGAAGAAGGACAAAGACAGGCAGATTCAAGTACCCTGAGACAGGCCTTTCTCTGCCTCAGTTTCCCCCATCTCTACACCTTGCTCTCAAAACAAAGTTTTGGAAACTGATTGGATAATTTTGTTTTTCCTTAAGCAATCTTTTTTAGTTTAGTTTTTTTTTTTTTAATGGTCTGTATATGTGGCCTAGGCGGGTCTCAAACTCGTGGTAGCTCTGCCTCAGCTCGCCCTAGTGCTGGGGTTATGGGGGGTACACCATCATGTCTTCATCACGCATGTTTCCACTTCTGATGCCAGGACTCAGAATTTTAACCCCTCTCATGAGTACGCAATCTCATTTTCAGAAGAGGAGGTAACAGACCCTGGAACACGGTGCATGCTGGTCAGTGAGATGGCCCAAGTCTAAGATCTACCTGAGTTCAGTCTCCAAAACCCACGTGTGAAAGGAATCAGCTTGACTAAGCTGTCCTCTGCCCGTCACGTGTGTGTCCTGGAATGAGCACCGACCCCTCCACAAAATAGAAAATAAAATAAAAATAAACAAATGCCTAGGTCATTTGATTCCTGGAGAGCCAGGAGATCTACACCCTGGATCCTTTCCTGAATACCAGTAAGGACCTTGTGAACCAGAGCCCAGGGTGGGCGTGTCCCACGCCTCACCTTTCCCTAATGAAATCAGCCAGTTCCTTGGTGGCCACAGGGCCCTGCTTCACACAATGGTAGAGGACCTCAAAGCCATGGTTTTTGTCACCCTGTAAGGGATGAGAGAAGAGATGTAGAAGGCAGAAAGGGACTCCAGGTTGCCTAGCAACAGAGACAGGCCTTCTGCGGAGAGGAGGTGAGACCTAACTGGATTGGCAGGCTGCACTTCTCCCCTAGCTAGTGGGAAGCCTGGGACTTTCACTGCATTTTTAAGGCTCCACCATCTCCTCCTGGGTGCCCCTTTATGTGCCCAGAGGTCGACATCACGGGTCTTCCTCTATAGCCCTCCGCCTGCCTCTTGCCCCCCTGCGCTATTACCTGTCCTGCCATGCCAGCTTTTTACATGGCTGCTGGGGCCTTGAACTCAGATCCGGTTACTTGTGATGCAAGTACTTTTCCAACCAAGTCAAAGCAGGACAAACCCAGGAAAGCCTTATGTCCGAATGTCCCTGCCACCGTTCCCATCCCCCACCCCAGATCCATGGTTCTCAGCGGCCAACACCCCAAAAGTCCTTAGTGTGTTCCTGCTTCCTCTCCTCAGCTCAGCTTCCTCCTGGCCCCAGCAGCTTCCCCACCTTCCACAGCCCCGTGGCTACTCAGAGCTCTCGCCTCCATCCCGCCAGAAGAATATATTATCTCTTCCAACCATAGTGCGCCGGCTACTTCGGGTGGTGGCTGCACCATCCTGAGCCCTTCTCTCTCTCTCTCTCTCTCTCTCTCTCTCTCTCTCTCTCTCTCTCTCTCTCGTACGACAAATGATGTCAATGAGCAGCAACTGCCACACAACGGCTTCACGGGCAAGATGTGTCTGGTACTCTGCTGGACACAAAGGCCTTCTGGGTTATAGCGAGGGCTCCACAGGCTCCCAATGAGCCCACCTGCCGCTGCTGGGGATCCTCCCGTGAGGCTGCACCAGGCACTGCCGCCCAGGCCATTATCTGGGGCTAACACAGAGTCAGCCACTGGCCGGTTTCCCAGACCTGGCAAACCCTCAGCACTGTCTGCCTTAGCGAAGTGGGCAAACAACAGAGGGTCTGAGGAGAGATGTCCAGAGCCTGTGTCTCTGATCAGAACTTCTGGGTGACAGCCAAAGAACACTTTATCACCGCTCCATACCCCTCTAGTGCCCGTGCATCCTCCATGGCTCCCCAGAGCTCTCCAGGCTTCTGACTCTGACTGGTCGCAAAGGACCTGGGCACCCCTAAGCATTGGGGTGTGGTTCAGGGTGGAGCCCCTGCCTAGAATCCCCCAGTGAGGGGCTGGGGGCGTGGCTCGGTGGATGGATATTTGAGGCACTGGCCTAGCAGAAAAGGAGTCTGATATCTCAGCCACACATCCATGTCCCAGAAGACAAAATTCTCATTCATTTGCTGAACCTCCTGAGAAAATGGAGGCTGGTTGACCAGCCCCTTCCTGAGGAGAACCTTTGAGCCAGTAGGACCCTGACTCAGGGCTGAGCCCTCGCAGCTGTGCTATCTTGGGGTGTGTATGGGAGGGAAGTTGAGGTGGCTTCTATTCTCTCCTCGCTCATTGACTTCTTCCCCCGTTTTCATACCACATGGAATATAAAACACCGGCAATCCCGTAGGAGTTACTGCCACTGCTCCCAAATGTGGCTGTCTTCTGGGCTGCCGCTGCAGTCCAGGGGTTCTAATGACAGCCCCGAGAACACCTCCCGGGGGGGTCACACAGCCATTCAGAGGCCTTGGGAGAATCTGAGCCCCGCAGGTGGCAAGGGACAGCTGGCCCTTTAAGAAAGCAGAGTCAAGTAAGAGGAGTCCCAGCTGGGGAGGGAGAATGGGAGGGAATGGGGCTTGTTGCTAGGGGCAACCGGTTGCTTAGCAACCAGCTACCACTTTGCAAACTGTGGGCCTACTGGGGAGGAAGGGACCTTTCAGCCTGATGCCTCCTAGACTCCAGACTCCCATTCTGGGGCTGCTTCTGCATCCTCGGTGGCTCCCCAGTTCGCTACCCAACTAACCAGGAGGGGACATTGGTCCTTGAGTGCCACCAAGTGTCGCACCTCTGAAATGGACTTAGGGTGTTTCTTGTGGTTGTAATAGCTTTTGCACATCCTAGAAACCGGCCTTCGGGGCTACTGCAAACAGGGTTGTGGGGAGCCCTGAGATGGGCTGAGCCGCACAATCTGCCTCCATGGTAACCCAGACTCCATTTGCAGCAGGCCTAGGTGGCCAAGAGGGCAGAGATTAGGGAGTCAATCTCCCTCCCACCAAAAAAAATATTTCCAAGATTAAAAAAAAAAAAAAAAAAAAAAAAGGCCTGGAATTTCCCTGCATGGCTTGCCCAGATCTGGGAAGTTCAGTTTGGTCCCAGGTGCAAGTGAGGCATGCTTTGGAACATGCCATTGTGGAAACATGTTACTCTGTAGCCCAGACTGGCCATCTTCCTGCCTCAGCCTCCCTAGGTCTGCGATCTCAGGTATGTACCCCACACCCAGCTTTGCACTGTCCTCAGACTTGCTGCTCAGTGTTACAGTTTGTGTTCCTTGGCAGGGATGTTTCAATTCTACTTCCAGCTGCCCAGGTCCCCCTTGACCATAAAAGTCCCTAAAGCCCTTTGGGAGCCTTCACCAAAATAAGAGCCCTGAAAATGAGAAGGAAGCAGAAGTAGCAGCAGGCCTTACCCAAAAATGCTCCCCAAAATATGACATCCTGCTGGCCTCCGTCTAGTATCTGTCTGAAAAGAGAGGTGAGTTTGAGGGTCTGAGTCATTGCTAGCAAGGGCCTGAACAGGGAAATTCCACCCTCCCTCCCTGTTGTAGGGAGGACTAAGGAAGTGAAGCCCAAGGCAGGAGCAGGTCAGACCACAAGAGATGGCCCAGCCTAGGCAACAGGACACTTATATCTCAGTCGTACGGAGCTAGGATGGAGGGGCCGTGGTGGGAGGGGCTTTAAGTGGGGTAGACGTTTGTGGGCAAGGACCGGAGTGGTAGTGAGTGAGCTGAATTCTAGACAGAACTGGTCTAGTCCATTTCAGAGGTAGGGAAACTGAGTCACTTCCCAAGAGGGGAAGTTACTTGCCAAGGTCAAACAACAAGAAGGGACAGTGGATTTTGCGGGACAGTGGGAAAGTCAAGGAATGATGTACTGGGTCCCCAGAGGGTCATGGACAGTTTCCCCTGCCCAGGTCAGGAGTTCCATGGGTCTCAACCACCCCTCGGAAGCCATCATTTACCTGGCTCCAAGTCACTCAGCTCTGTGCCTCAGTTTCTCCATCTGTAGGAGACAGAAAAGCCAGGAACAGTTTTGTTGGAGACTTCAGGTCACTTTGCGTGAGGTGGGGTGTGCAGAATCCTTGGCACATCAAGGCTGGGCTGTCACAGGAGCCGGGTCCTCATCCATAGTTGATGAGCTGCTGGGCTGCTTGGTGACAGCCCAGGCCCAGGAGGCCCAGCAACAGACTGGACAGGGCCAGCTGACCACAGGATCAGACTGTCCTAGCCCCACTTAGCCCTGAGCCTCAGTTTACCTAACACTAAAAGTTAGCTGTCCTTTGTTTTTTTGTTCCCTAGCCCAACCTGGCCTGGAACTATGGATCCTCCTGCCTCAGCCTCTAGAGTTCAGGGACTCAAGCTGCATGTCATTGCGCATGGCAGGTTCCCCCAGCGCAGTGCGAGAGGAGGAACACTGCAGGGACACGGCAGCAGATTCCTCCTGAGGCCCTCTACCCTCCCACCCCTGCTTGGGTGAGGCTTCCAGAAGGTCCTCTGCAGGGAGGAAAGCCCCAAATGGCCAGACTGTGGCTTGTCTTTGTTTCACTGGATTCTATACCCCAGCTGCCCTCGAGCTCATGTCTATCCTCCTGCCTCAGTCTCCCAAGCACTGCAGCGACAGCCTGGAGCCTCTACACCACCGTCCTCCTGTGGCCTGGTGGCTGTGGGATCCAGCCAGCCTGAATCCCTAAAATGTGCTGAAGGACAGGGACCCAGCCCCTACACCTGCCACCTGCATGGTAACGTGGCCACCCCTGCGGCCAGGCCCTCACCCGCACAAGCCTGGGAGCCACAGGGGAGGTGGTGGCCATCTGCGATAGGCCAGATAAACTGCTGCCAGGTTGAAGAGGCTCTTGGGTAATGGGTTAATGGGTTCCGGTCCCGGAAGTCATCCGTGTTACCAGACCTCCCCCATCTCCCCTCCGCCACATGCAAGCCACTGAGGAGTCACACCTGCAGTCCCCACCCCACACACACCAACTCACACCACCAGCCATCCCAACCCATGTCAGACACCATCTCTCACGGCCACAGCTGCCCACCTGGCTGCCCGAAACGCCACCCAGTACCCCTTGAAAGGCTGACCTGGGGTGGCAGGAGGCGGTACCAAAGATGGGCCCTGATGCTGCCACCTGGCCTAGGAAGTGACAGCTATTGCTGACCCCAGACCTGAGCCCACAGCTGTGGGACACCTTCCTGTTCTGAGGTGACAAAGATGGGTGGTGGGGTCAAACTCACCGATGGGCACCGCGGGGGGGAGGCAGGGCCCCTGGGGCACAGGGTAAACACCGGGAGGCTACAGGCCCCGACACTTCCGACACTTCCGCCAGCCCTGAGTGGAGGCCCCTGTGTCTGGAGGAGGACAGGAAGCCTGGCCCGCCCTGCGCCCTGCTTGCCACCCAACCGTCACCTCCCCGCCCAGCACCCCTGGGACCTCCCCAAAGCCACAGGCAGCACGTGGGAGGGTGGGGCTGAGAGAGCAGGTGGGGCGACAGGATTATTCCCAGAGACACACTAATGAGAATAAGATGACTACCCAAGAGGGGGGACTGAGACTTGAAGATGCCCAGAGCCTCTCCCTCAGACAGGGAAACTCAAACATTTTCTACAACGACTTCAGAACCAACAGATGAAGTCTGTTTTAGACAAGGTCTCCTGTACAGCCCAGGCTGGCCTTGAATTCACTATGCTGCAGATGAAGATGGAAGACAACTCCTGGTCCTCCCCCCCCCCCCCCAGGTGCAGGGTCAACCACCACGCCTGGCTTCTGAGTACAGTGCCCCCATCCCCATGTGCTTGGGGTCATTTTGTTTTTTTACTAATGAGATTTGAAAAGAAGCTAAACCACTTCCAAAACCCCTAAAAATATTGTGGACCTAAGACAGTTTTCCTAATGTAACCCAGAGCTCCCTGGCCTCTGCAACATCAGAAGGAGGCCCAGAGAGTGACAGACATTTGCTGGGCATCACACAGCTGCCCCCCGACACACACACACACCAATTCCCCAAAACCCGGGGCCTGGGTGTGCACGGAGGGCAGGCACGGCTGGGTCAGAGCTGGCACTCTGGATTTTGGATGTGGGCTGGCAGTGCCCACAGCCCTTGACCCCCTCTGTGTCCCCAGCACTCCATGCGGAGCCGAGGCCCCTGTACCAGCCCTTGGCTGTCATTTCATCCAGTACACACACATTGAGCATCACTGTGTACTCCAGTCCACCGTGCCACTGATTCTGGTCACACCCTTCAAAGACATCCATTTTCTCGTCAGCTGTGACCCCATTTAGTGAGCGCAATATCATAATTAATATCACCAGGAGAGGGTGTTTACAGCGCGCTCCCTCCTACCGGCCCCTCTGATCTTCCCACGGGGTTTCAGCCAGTTGGAGCACACCAATTTGGGGGTGTCAGGCTTCCTGTCTAGGGCTCACCTCACTGTCCTGCAAGGGACAGGGGTTAAATGCCTGGCTTCCCACCTGGGACCTGGCCGAGGAACCGGCTGGGCCCTGGTGTAGGTGGTGGTATGTGGGTCAGGGTGTGACCCAGGCAGCCACACCGGTGGGACCGGGGTGATGGAGGCCAGGTCTTGATTGCAGGCGGGTCCTGTCTTATGGTCACATGGGAACTATCCTGTCCTGGCCCTAGCTTCCTCCAGGAAGGCCAGACTGTGCGCATCAATAAATGTCATGGTTTGTTTTTGTTTATGCTTTTTTTTTTTATGAGGCAGAATCTGGCTATGTAGTCCAGGCTGGCCACAAGCTGCAGATCTTCCTTCTGGCTCAGTCTCCCCAGGACAGGAATGACCCTGCCAGGCTAAACCCATTTTAAAGGGCCCAAAACTGAGTCTCCCCTAACCTTCGGCCAAAGACTGGGATCCCCATCTGGCAAAAATGGGGTGTACGTGTTGGGAATCTGAGACTGACAGTCCCCTCAACCTCTACATTCCAAAGAGGAGACTGAGGGTCAGGGAGGTGTTGTCACCTGCCCAAGGTCACCATGAAACAAGTCCCACAATGCTGCTGGCAGACAAGCGGAGGGGCTGCCACCCCCGACCTCCTCTGCACCCCATCCTCAGTTACCTCGAATAATTCTGTCCCTGGGAGCAGATGCAGGCCGCCCCTCTCACAGAGCGCGGGAGTCCCCGGTGCGGGCTCTAGGCCTCTCCAGGCCCCGATTGTCAGGGAGCGGACCCCAGTTTCCCGCGGCCCCACAGCACTGGCCCTGCAGAGCCCCCACCTATCTGACAAGCCCGAGGCGGGTGCAATAGGAGGGAGGTGAGAATGGGGACCACATGAGCAGCGAGGGAGGTGGCCCCCACCTCAGGGCCTGGGAGCTCAGGGATGAAGACCCGGAGAAAGGATTTGGGGGTCCTCAGGGTCCCCGTTTCCCAATCCTGGATTGAGGGGGGCACCAGTGGAGCGGCGCCCCGCCTTCTGCAGAGGGCACCTGCTTTGGGGTCGGATCAGGATGAAGGCTGCGCCCGCATCCCGCGTCCCTGCGTCCCGCGCCCCGCGCCCGGGGGACACTCACCCCGCGCCGCCGCCACCTGCGTGCTCCAGACCCGCGGCCGGCCCTCCCCGCGCGTTGCGGAGCGCGCCTCTGGCCCCGCCCATAGGTGTGGTCTGGAGGAGCTCCGCCCCGTGGAGCTTCACAAGCCCTGCGCTGGTTGGCTGAGCCGCACCACTCACCCGCCGGCTAATACACGGTTTAAAGTGACAGGAGAGAGGCTCCTACTTCCCTGCACCGGCAGGTTCCGCGGGAGGGAGGGAGGGGAGATGAAAGCAAGGAGCAGCATTTATTGAGAACCTGCTCTGTGCTGGGCTCATGGCAAAGCCCTTCCAAGGCCGTGAGGTAATATTTAATATTGAGCCCCATTTTACAAAGGAACTGAGAGGGTTGGAGTTGTTTTGGAGGTCACACGCCACTCCAGTCCATCCATTCATACCACACGTCATTCATTAGCTTATTCAGGATGTTCTAGTGACAGAACTCAGCACTACACAAGAGCTACATATCCACCCTACCCCCATAAGACAGTTTTTAGAGACTTAGGACTCCCTAGCCTGGACTCCATTTCAACCTTCCATTCAGGGACACAGGCTGCCTGACTAGTCCCAGGACTACTGAGCCACCAGCTTCTCCTGTCCCATGGGCCTGGGGACGCCTGGAAAGCTAAGTGCTCCTTCATCCCCAGTGCGTATCCCTGCAGCCTTGGACCTCAGATACCTTCAGGTCAGTCCCAGCCTGCCACTGCCCCACCTCTCACTTAGACCCATCTACTGCTCTCTCCCCCAAATGATGCTGGGTTTCCATGGCAACCATGCACACTTAAACATGACTTTAGGGCTTGTGAGAAGGCTCAGCAAGCACAGGTGCTTGTGGCAAAGCCAGGGTTTGATCCCCACGGTGGGCGAGAAGGGGACCTGCATGGTGTCCTCTGAACTCCTCGTGTGCACACAAGCAGCAGCTGTCGGCTAAAACTGTAAAGATCAAGCCTGTGCCTGGCGAGTCGGCAGCAGCAGCTCTCCTCGCGTGAGCCCACACGGACACTCACATGCTCCAAGGGTGCTTTGTCTGCCCCACGAGCCCGTGTGGCATTCAGTCTTTGAGTCATGTTCAGTTTTCTGGGGTTTGAAAACGCAAAAGCATCAGACTTTTTTTTTTAATATTTATTTATTTATTTTGTATACAATATTCTGTCTGTGTGCATGTCTGCAGGCCAGAAGAGGGCACCAGACCTCTTTACAGATGGTTGTGAGCCACCATGTGGTTGCCGGGAATTGAACTCAGGACCTTTGGAAGAGCAGGCAATGCTCTTAACCTCTGAGCCATCTCTCCAGCCCCAGCATCAGACGTTTTAAAATATATATTAGTGTGTGCCTGCACGCATCAGAGTCGGGTGGAACGTGCATTGGATCCACCGCACCTGCCGCTGACGGGGCATTGCTGCTAATGCCGTCCTGGACTCAAGATTCGGTGCTTCAGGCTCCCAGGCAGCTCCATTACAGCCGTGTGCCCGGTGTGCCCGACAGCCGCCTGAATCTGCTACATGACTCAGTTGTTTTTTTTTTTTTTTCCGAGACAGGGTTTCTCTGTGGTTTTGGAGCCTGTCCTGGAACTAGCTCTTGTAGACCCGACTGGTCTCGAACTCACAGAGACCCGCCTGCCTCTGCCTCCCGAGTGCTGGGATTAAAGGCGTGCGCCACCACCGCCCGGCCATGACTCAGTTTTATTCCTGTCTATGAAGTCAGGACAGATGAGAGTCTCCCTAGTGTGCTCTATCAGGAGGAAAACTGTGCACATGTGCGTCTCTCTGCGCATGTGACCGTGTGCATGTGTGTGCACATGCAATGGTGCATGTGTGCATGTGACCATGTGCATGCATGTGATTGTGTACGTGCAGTGCATGTGCATGTGTGCACATGCATGTGTGTGTGAACCATTTATACATACCTCTCAATGTGTGAGCTTAGCTTTTTTGTCAACATGACACAAACCTGGGAAGTGCCCTCAAAGAAGAGGCCTCCACCAAGCTGTCCTGTGGACGTGTCTGTGGGCAGTTTCTTGACTGATGACGGCTCACTGTGGGCTATTCCACCCCCGGGGCACTCCCCATGGCCGCCGCTTCAGTTCCTGCCTCCAGGCTCCTGCATGAACTATTGGCCTGCTTGATGGGCTGGAAATGAAGTACAGTCCCCCATTGCTTTGTATCAGGGTGTTCAACACAATAAAATAGTTTGCCATAGAGCCCTAAGTCCGAATCAGTCTGAACGAGAATGGGTTCAGATTCAGAATGTTCCCCCAAAGGGCAATATAAAAGAGAACTTCCCGCCTGGATCCCAGCACTTCAGAGGCTAGCCTGGGCTCCCATACTCAAAACTGAAGGCTCAGAGGTGGCCAGAGGATTCGGCCATCATCAGTGGGTGAGTCTACCAATAACTCCAGTTTAAGATGATTGACACATTAGAAGGCGAGCCTTTAGTTGGGGGGAGGGGTCATCCCAGCTCCCTTTCCTGGCCTCTGCAGTTTTGCTCTCCCATTTCAAGGGTTAACAAAGTATGACCTGGGTGACCCTGGTCTGAGCCCCAAACGCCAGGCCCTTGTGCATCTCCACACGTCCCATTCTCCTCAGGGAGGTTGCTCTTGCAGGATACGCCCAGCACCCACGGTTTTCCTTTCATTCTGTTTTTGGGAATAAGCTGGGATTGAGGGGGTTTGCGAGCACACACAGCAGCTGTTCTACAATGAGCCACGCCCCCCACCGCCAGCTCCCCTTTGATTGGTCATTTCCTTGCTGTTAACTCTTCCCGCTCCAAAGCCACCTGGGGAGGCTTTTCTCCCGCCCAGCACTAGACCCCGGGAAGGTGCCTGGTGTGGGCTCCGCCCTTAGCGTCAGGCCGGGAACCCCGGGGAATCCGGCGCCTCACACAACCATCAGGCGAGGTGTGACCGCATTCACACGCCCGCCCCTCCTGGCAGACCTGGGCAGGGGCAAGGGAGAGGCGGGAGGTAAGGCTAGGGGGCGGCGGCTAAGACCCAGGGAGGCAACGCAGCAGCCTCAGGAATGCGCAAGGCAGGGAAGGAACACCTTGACACAAGACAGGAGACCCCAAAGCCTCCCCAGCCCCCGCGCGAGCACACAGGATCTCTTGCTCAACCTGGGGACCAGCAAGCCTGGGCATTCTCCTGCCTCCGCACCCCGTGTTGGGATTACAGAGATGTGCCTTCAAGAGCATCTTTTTATCAGGGTTCTGGGAATCAAACTCAGGTTCTCAGGCTTGTGAGTGAAACGCTTTTCCCGTGGAGCCATTTCGCCCGCTCCACAAATGCCTCTCTTGCTCCCCCGCTCCCCATTTCAGACAATCTCACCAGGTAGCCCAGGCTGGCCTTAATGTCGATATCCTCCCGCCTCATCTTCCTGGGGCACAGTGAAGGCACTTTGCCACCCATGGCCAAGCCTCTACTCTGTCTCTATCCTTCCTTTCCTCCCTTCCCCTCCCCTCCCCGGCCACAGCCTCCATTCCCTGGCGCCCTGAGCTGTCAGCCTGGCCTCGTGCCCCCTGGCGTCCACTCGGGGTTCAAGTTGGGGCCCCGCATGGTGTTTCCAGTGCGCAATCAGACAGCCGTGGAGGGAGGTACAAACGGAGGGGAAGGAGTGATCCAAAGGAGAGGGAGGATAAGGTAAGGCCTGCTGGGAGGAAGACCTAAGGAGGAGACGGCCACCCAGCCCACCAGCCCTAGCAAGCCAAGCCTTGGCCTGGGTTTGACAAAGGGGGATATGGTCTCATGTCTATCACTGCGCGGCCATGTCTTCTGTGCGCCAACGGTCTGGCCGGGTGAAACCCCATCTCTTCAGAAGACCTGGTCAGTTACTGGGGCGGCAACCACTGCAGGGTGCTGGACAGTGACCACACAGCCTAAGAGAAAATAGATACCCAGCTTCTTGGGGGGCTAAGGCAGGAGGATGATCAGTTTGAAGACAATGCAGACAGCACAGCCAGTCTCCACAGCAGCAGAGGAGTTCAGTCAGGGGGAGTGGGCGCATAGCCCCCAGGCCCAGGGCTCAGTTGCAGTAGGGGAGTGGGCGCATAGCCCCCAGGCCCAGGGCTCAGCATCAGGCACCACATGAGCACACTAAAGTAACAAAAAAAAATTTTTTTTATTTTGAGACTGGTGCTTTCTATGCGAACCTGGTTGTCCTGAACAGCAGGGATCCACCTGCCTCCTGCTGAAAGTGCACACAAAGTAGGCCCGGTGGGACACGTCTTTAATCCCAGCACTCGGGAGGCAGAGGCAAGTGGATCTCTGTGAGTTCAAGGCCAGCCTGGTCTACACAGAGAAATTCTAAAAGTAAAAAAAGAAAAAAGCTGCACTCCCCATCTGCCCTGGTGGACTTCAGTATTGGAGGTGTCCTCAAGTGCACAGCCGCTGAACAGCAGCCGCTGGGTTATAAGCAGCTGCTCCTTGTCTCTAGTGAGGTCACCAAGCACCGTCTAGGTGGCACCGCCTAGGCGGCAGCTGTTTCCCATGCCTGGGTCCCAGCTGTGGCTTTCTTTACTTTGGGAGGCTCTTTGGAAGTCCAGTTGGAGGTTGGTGGTTGTGGAAACACAACCTTTGTGTGTTATCTGTTCCTTCCTGTACACTCCTTTCTGGGTAGCCATGAACTGAGTGGCTCTGCCATGCCTGAACACTGGAAGCCTGAACAAACCTCCTTCCCTGCAGTTGTCTGGACTAGGGGGCTGAACTCAGCTGACAGTGCTCAGAGCGGCACTGGAAGGCTGTGGCCCACAGGAACAAGCCTGGCACCCCAGCAGCTGGGGGGTGGAGGCAGATGGATCAGGAGGTGAGGGTTTACATAGTGTCAGCTTTCCTGAGCAAGTGCTGAAGGCTGGACTGGTGAGGTCTAGGCCTTAGACTCTCGGGGATGAGGGGTACATTCAGGGTGAACACTGGGATGGCGCTGACGGCTCTTCTTGGGGCCCAGGATTCCTGCCCTGTGGATTCTGCTGG